TATATATATATATATATATACAAAGAGAGAGAGAGAGAGGGCGGGATCAAATGAAAACCGTCTAATTTTTAGAAACCGTGTAAACTAATTTCGACCAACAGAATTATTTCTTTTTTTCTTAATTAAATTTAATCATTAAGGGTAGATTTGTCATTTATATTGTTTTCTATTAAATATGTAAGTGATTAATAAATCTTAATTAAGGTAAAATAATAAAGGAAATTTTATAAATGGTAAGATTTAAATGTTTATTTAAATTAGAATTTTAAAAGTTGAATATTGTTATTTGGTTTCTCGGTTTATTAGCGGTAATAATATGAAAATAAAAAATTATTATATTTATTAATCCACGAAATCAATAACAGATCTAAACAAAGATTCATGAACCAGTAAAAATATGATCAGCTGTGAAACAAATTCATGTTAGATTTGTTCATGAAAACGTTCATTGAGGAGCTTGTTTTATGAAACGTATGTAGATTGGTTCGTGAAAACGTTCATTGAGGAGCTTTATGAAATCTTTGGGAATGAACTGGTTGCGTAATATAATATTCTTGCATAATTTTATTTTCTTATCAACAATATTTGATGAAATTGTTTCATTTTGTTTGTTTGTTTTTTTTTTTTTGATGATTTTGTTCAATTAATGGTTACAAAGCATGTAATGATAAATGCATTGACTTTATGAAACGTGTTTGTATTGGAAGAAATTGACTGATGAAATGGATGCATGAAGAAAGTGAAACCATTTCATAATTGATAAGAAAATGATGTGTGATTAGCGAACAATGAAACAATTTCATTATCACAATGAAACGAATCCATCTACCAATAGCATGAAAAAGACAAATGTCTCATCTAGCATTACGTTGATTAGTGTATTGATGAAACTATGAAACGTGTTCGGATTGCAAAAACTTTGTCGATAAAATAGGTGCATAACGACAGAGAAACCATTTCATAATTGTTAAGAACATGTTGTTTAATTAGCAAACAGTGAAACCATTTGTTAGGTCTGAGAAATCAGTATTAATTGTATTCGTCTTGAAAGATTAATTTTAGTCTATAATTGTATAGTCAGCATRTTTGACTTTCTTAGACTGGTTTGACTTTGACTTTGTATTAATATGTTGACCATATAAATAGGTGGTAATCTTTGTAATTAAAGGGAAGTGAGCTAATTGTAATATTCAGATTAGTAATAAGAGGTTTGACTGAATTGAGAGGATTGACTTTCTCTCTCAATATTCATATGTGTTCATAGTGTTCTTGAATGTAAATCTATGAATCTGCCATTGATGTGAGCTAGATATTGAAGATTGATCAGTGATTGTGGACACACAATTGGTATCAAAGCTGGAATGCAAGGAATCAGAAAAAGAAATCGATCAGATAAGTTTTTTTTTTTTTTAATTCTGAATATTTTGTGTTCTTCGTGTTCTTGAGTTTTTCTTTGATTTTGATCCGATTTTCTCATAAAATATTGTGTTTTGATGTTAAAAACATGATCAATATGTTCGAAATTGAATTGTGAATCTTTGTTGTTCACAAACTTTTATGTTTTGATCAATTTTAATCAAGATTTAATCGGTTTTTAGTTTTTTTTTTTAATTTTTTCGTGTTCTTAATTTTTTTTTCGTAAATCAGTGTTTTGATCCATTTTTTTTTTAAATTTCTTTTAGTTTTTATGTTTTTGTTAGTTTTAATCTGATTTTAGTTTGAGTTTGTTTTTCTTTGTGTTAAATCGCCCAAGTCATTAAGGCCCATCTTCTAGGCCCAACCGGTTTAAGCCATCCATTATCATCTACATCACACAGGTGCACACAGAAGAAGCTTAATCTTTCATTTTTTTTTTACCGGTGGTTGATCTTTAGTTGCAAGTGTATCAAGCGGAGAGGTAAACCGCACATTGAGCGGTATTCATCAACACCGCAGAACCCTTGCCCGGTATTCATCTACACCGGTCATCACTTCACCGGATTAGGGGTTATTCGTTCAGCACGCAAGGTTTTTGAGCGGTATTCTAAACCGCACGCTACTTGACCGGATTTCAAGCTATACCGGTCACCACTTGACCAGATTAGGTAAGATTTTTTTCAATTAGTTCTCTGTTCGGTTTTCTAAACCGTTCAATTTCATATTCATTTTTAAAACCGAGTATTCTGTCTGGTTTAGAACTTGTGCATCAAAGAAGTGTTTAGCAATCGTTTAGGTTTTACATTGAGCGGACTTGACCGGTTTAAGTTTTACTTTTGACCGGATTAAGATTTGAGCAATTTATTTCGAATCTTGACCGGAGAGTTGAGCGGATAAGTCTCCGGACAGGTCATTCATGTGGTGGTGATCGTGATTGATTTAGGCTATGTGAAGTTTAACAGGTAACAGACAGATTGATCGGATTAACAGAGTTTGTGTTTGTTCTTTATACTCAAACCACACGGAGTTCTGTCTTGGTCATTTTGCTACAGTATACAACAGCAAGATGGTCTGATAGGGAAAAACATGTTGTAGCAGCAGCAGACTTAAGTGTGATTTTATCACAGTTTTATCAGCTTAACCACAGTTTTATCAGCTTCATTTTAAACTGCGCTGTGTCTGTTTTAAGCAGTAGGTTTGAAACAGTAACAAGAAGACACAGCAGCAGTTACAGAAGTTTTGAAACAGATTTGAAGCATTTTGTATGTGTGATTGTTTTCAAATTTTAAAACAGAAACAGGAAAAGAGTAGACAGCAATAGCTTTATTGTTGTTGGGTATTGTTGGTGTCGAGACTGCAGTCAACAACAGGTCTTGTTGTTGTGTGATTTTGAAGTTCTGGATCATCTCGACAGCAGTAACTAGTTTGCCCTTTGTGATTGACAGCAGACTGTTTATTTTGACAGGTCTTAGCAGCTTTTTTGGTTTAACAGGTTTAACTAGTTGCTGTCCATTATCCTCATCA